TATATATATATAATTATATATCAATGTATTTCATATTAAAAATTTTCTTATCATATGATTCGAGGACTGTTCTTTATTCTGAATTGGTGCACACAGTGCAATAAGTTGGAGCGAATGTATTAACGAATTTAATTGGAAGCATTCAGTGCGCACTAGTGCATGTTAAAGCCGTTGTACGCTGATTTAATTTGAACATAAAAATGAAATGCAAGTATTTCAGATTAAAATACATATTTTACAGATTGAAATACATATTTTATCTAATAGCACAATAAAATGTATTTCACGATTTAATTGATTTCTGTATTTATTTATAAATATATCTTTATATTATTTTGTGTACGATGGCTTTAATGCGCACCAGTCCAATCGAATTCGTTATATATATGTTTCAGTTCAACTTATTGCACCATATGTATCAATTCAGGTAGTGCAAGAATAAAGAACAAACTTAAGATGTAAATCAAAAAAGAAAAATTATACTAGATTGTTACTCGAAAAGGAGCAAATCCTCCTTTGTCTCCTATCTCTCCTCAGGACGTTCATATCTATAACAGCCTCAATATATGGACAAACAGTTTTCTAGTTAAAGTAATAAAGTTGAACAACTCTGAATGAAATTAGCGATTATAAGTAGTCATATTTGTTGTAATTGTACAACAAATTTAATACAGCAGAAATAACTTTCTATGAAAATCCACTATCTAGATCAAAATTTTTAACTAAAATATGCTAGTTAAGATGATGCGTAATATTGATGCTGTTATAAAGAAAACTTATTATATTAATGATTTTTATTGATAATTGTTTAGATATAATTTCTTTGCTAAACCATCAAATCTTCTTAATTAAGGCTATTATACGTACAAAAATTTTAGTCATAATCGTAAAGTTTCAAGTAAATCGATCAATTACATTTAAAATTGCGATCTTGCGTTTCGACTATGATTGGTCGATTTGCTTATGATTACGATTAAAATTTGTATATAGTCTTTATAAATGTTGAACTCACGCAGCAAGATATAGCTTTGCTATCCAATATATTTATTTTCGTGACACGCATGACTTTGACGATAGTTATGTACACATCGTACCATCCTTTGAGTTCTATAAACCTCAGAATTTGAAGGACGAGAAGAACGCGATGGTGTTTCGCTGCAAGTTTCGCCTACTTTATTCTGCCAATAATAATTTACTCGCAGCAAGAATAAAGGTACTCCGCAGCCTTATGCCGGAGATG